ACTTTAAAAGGGTAAATTTTATGGTATGTGAATTATATCTTAATTTTATTTAAAGCTTTCAAAGTACTATTTAAAATAGCAAAAACTGGAAACAACCAAAATGCCTAATAATAGAACAATTCATATTCTGTGGCATAAACAGAATTGAGCAGAAATATAGCACTACTAAAAGGTATGTATTACGCAGATTGTCAATATATGGAAATTTAAATACGTATATAAGTGAGAGAGAGAGACATAATATTAGGGGAAGAATGGACATAAAAGAGTATTACAAACCAATTACAGGGCTTTTATAACCCAACACAAGTCACATATAAGTCACGCGGAGCCCAGAAAGACTGAGAACGCTGTCGCTTCCTCTTCTTGCCAACTTGGAAGAAGAACAGCATTTCCATTTGTAAAGTACTTCCGTGTACATTATCTGATTTAATCCTTAAAACAACCTCGAGAGAGGTAACGGGTTATCATCATTATATAGAAATTGTGCTGAAGGTCGCAGCCTTCAGAACTGGGACCAGAAACCCCCTCCCTCTTGCCTCCACATTGTGAGAGATCTGGACTTTCCCCACAAAAACACAAGATTTAAAAACAAAAAAACTGAAAGCTAGCTGTATCCCTTCCAGTACCTCCTGGGATCACTAAAAATAAAAAGGGAGCAGGGCCAAGGAGAGAGCGGGTCTGCTGGCTGGCTGGCTGGCGCTCTCCCGGTCAGGAGGCCTGGCAGCTGCCCTGAGCTCACCCTGCAGACAGCCCTGCAGACAGCCCTGCAGACGTGGGAAGGGGAGCTGGCCCTGCTGAGTGAGCTCCCAGCCCTTCTGGCACACCAGGTTGGAGGGCAGGACAGCTGCTGTGTACCTGGAGGACCCTGGCTGCCTTGGTCCCTTGGTGAGAGGCACGGAACGGTCACTCCAACCCTCAGAGGTCAATGTGCATCATGCTCCTTTCCCCAATGTCAGAACAGGGACCCTCCCAAGCAGGGACGGCTACACTTCCCCAGGAAGTCTCCCTTCCTCCTCCTGCCAAAAAACACGCCTTCTACCCAGAGGGGAAACTAGGGCAGCAGCGAGACGGCCCTAAGCACATTCTGGCAGGAAGGCCAACTCCTGAGGGCCTGGACAGACTTTGAAGCTGTAGGTGCAGTGGTTAGAAGCTTGGGTTCTGAGATGCAACAGACCTTGGATCACACTCCAGCACTCCCAGAAGAAACGGCAGCCCAACTTAGACCACTGAACCTTAGTCCATTAATGACACAGCCCTCTTTCCAGCAGAGCCTTTCCCAACAGCCATGACGAGGGCCAGCTGGGGTCATCTCCACCCAGAGGCTAAGTGGCCCAGCCAAAGTCACTTCTTGTATGGCCCATGGTGCCACTTCAGGAGACCCTGGCCCAGGTACCCAGGTTTCTGTGACTCTCAGGGGCTCACTGGATGGGGACTCCCCAGAGGGGCACCCCAGATGAGACTGAGATGGAGCTGGGTACTGGGGCTGCAAGAGGTTGCTTCTTCCTTTCCTCCTCCCTTCTTTCTCTCCCTCCTGCCTATGCAGCAGCCTGGACTCTGCAGCAAACTCCTCGGGGCCAGAGGCTGCGGCAGAAAAGGAGAAAAAACCACTCACACAGTTGTAGAGTGAAGGAGCTGGGGAAGCTGGCCTCCACCCATCTGGATGTGTGTGAGTGGGGGTGGGGAGACATTCCAAGGACCTCGCAGCTCAGGAGTCCCTTTCTCAGGGCCTGCAGCAGCTTGGACGAGGAAAGCTCCATTTCCCAGGCCTGGCTTGCAGCCCTTCCCTTTCCAGCACTCAGGGTGGCGTATAGGCTGCCACCAGGAGTTGGGTCACTCCAGTGCGCCCCACAGTGGAGTCAGTGAGGGTACGGGCAGGACCCAGCAGGGGTGGGGGATGAGGTGGAGGGAGGATGCCGGCCACACTGCCTTTCTGCTTAAAAGTCAGACTGCTGGGCTCTGAATCCTGCCTCGGACACTTCCTGGCCGTGCTCAGTCCCACCGCAACAGCATGCTTGCTAAGCTCACCAAACTACAACAAGGCACTGTGACCCCAACCCCAGGAGAAGGTGCGGCTGAGGCCCTGATGTGCTGGGCACAGGGCTTACTGGCCATAGTGGGGTGGCTGCAGGGTCCCCAGCTGTCCTTTTTCTCCAGCCTGAACTAGAGTCTATCAGGGGCCTCCTGTGGGACGGGCTCCAAAGCTGGACTTGGAGGGGACAGCGAGGATCAGCACTTGGGCCACCAGAGCTGCACCAGGCCCCTTTCTCAGGATGTAGAGAATGTTCGTCCTTCTAGGTCCCCGAGGCCCAGGAGAGAGAGAGAACTCACTCTGCTGCCAAAAGCCCCAGGTCCAGAGGCCCCCCTTGCTGAGGGATGCACACAGTAGCAGGAAGTCATCCTGTTATACACTGTTCTGGGCCTGTGTATGCAACTGGCAAGTGAACAGGCCAACCAGGGAAACTCAACCCCAGGACAGCTGCAGTTCTGCTGGCCCCTCTGGCCACACCCAGACTACGTGCAAGCCCTTCAGGGCTGGTGGGTCCCTGGCGGCCTGCCCCACTCTGTGTCTCCCTTTGCCTCTGGGCTGAAGGGAAAGCTGCTCACTGCATTTCCTTTGCCCTCTCACCTCCTGCCCACCTTCAAGATCTCACAATGCCTTCAGCCTAAGTCCACAATTAGTGGTATGACCCTGTCGATGGGGCCTACCTGCACCCAGCTCACTCATCTGCCCCCAGCTGAGTGAAAAGCATTGCGCTCTGTCTGAGGCTTGCCAGCAGTGACCCTCCCCTCAGAACCCACACGGTACCTGCAGCTGGCCTGTGCTTGGTCCCACACAGCAGCCTTGAAGGCAGAGCCACGGTGCCCTCCCTCCTGGACCTGGGCCATCATGTTGCTGCTCAAACCCGAGATTCTCCCTGCCTCAGGCTTGCCTTGGCAAACAGACCTGCCCAGGCCTCCGCCTGCCTTTCGGTCTTGCCTTCTGTTTTCCTTTCTCCAAAACCCAAAAGTACCTTTGCTAGGATAAGCAGGCCTAGCCCCTGGCTCCATAGGGATCCTGCAAAGAAACCCACAAATAGCATCAGATACCAAGAAGGAAATGGGGTGTGAGGGTTAGAAGAAATAAGAGGCAACAGTGCCCACTAGTAACAACACAGCTCTTCCCCAACCCAGGGCAGGCAGAGGAAGGACCTGCCAGAAACGAGGGAGGAGAGGAGTCCCGACGTCCTCGGCCTGCTGGGGACTGGGCCAAGTCCAGGCAGACAGAGGGGCTGGCTCCCACTCTGGCCTGCAGCAGGGGTGGCAGCGGCACCCTCCCATTTGGCACCCCCACTCACTCTCAGCGCTAGATCTGAAGTTCATCTCCCTGCAGATGAAGGGCAAGGCCCAGCACTCGCTCCCCCAGGATGTCAGACACACACAGGCACGAGGAGGAAACCAGGGCCTGAGTCCGTGCTGAGGATGGGAGGAGGGCTTGGAAGGCTTGGGAGGATGGCCAAGGCCACAAAGGCTCACTGCAGTGGAGAGAGACCTCTTTTCTGATATGGGTTCCAGACTGGAGAAACCTAGCTCCTCTCAAGGATAGCAATGCCCTTTGAGGCCTGGCTCACGAGGTCCTGCCTGACCCCCCCGCCCAGCATTCCTCCCCTCCGTGACCTCCCACAGCACCGCCTGCCTGCATCATTCATTCTGGAGTTTGTCCTGTTATCTCCCACAATGAATCTGCAAGGTGTTAGGGCACAGAGGCTGGGTCTCATACCTTTCTACGTCACCACAGCCCCCGCACAGAGCTTCTAACACTAAATACACATTCAAAGAGGAAAGGAGAGAAAGCTGAAGAGAGTAACCAAGGGAAAGAAAAAGAGGAAAAGGCAAAGAGAAAGAAACAGTCCTCCTGGTCCCCTACTCAGGCCAGAGGGGTCTGGGCCCTACTCCACCCAGGTACACACTGCGCAGTAGGGACGGTGGCCTCGGCACTCCTGCCCCAGCTGCGAAGGCAGTGGCAGGGATGAACTGGATGAAGCGGTGCAGAGCCTGCTGCTGGAGCCAGACTGCCTGCCCCCAGGACCCGGCCCCACCCCTTCCTGCCATGTGACCTTGGGCACATCACCAAACCTTATCTGTTAAGCGGAGGCTAATAATAGTACCCATCTCATACGGCTACTAGAACACAGTAAGAATTAGCTGTTATTATTTCAGGTAAGAACAAATGCTTTGAACACATACAGTCAATGCTCAAAAAATGTGAAATCACAGAATGTCAGAGCTCAAAGGGACCCTTAGCTGTTCTCATCTACGTAACCTGCTCATCTGACAAATGAGGGAAGTGATGTGCTTAGGTCACCCAGGTGAAGGCAGAGATGGGCCTAACACTCAGGTGTCCTGACTCCCAGGCCAACGCTGCTCATTCATTCGGTACTTATTCAGCACTTCCGAGCTGGGTGCCAGGTGTCAGAGCGCAGGTGGCCTGGAACCTACAGTCTGAGGGAGAGACAGGCTGGGCAGGGATAAGACGAGGAAAAGGCAGCGGAGGGGCAACAAAAGGAGGCATGGGGCGCTCTGAGACTGTAACAGGAGTGGACCCTGTCAGGACGGTCAGCAGAGGCTCCCGGAGAAAGTGACAATGGACTGGGAACTAACGAATGAGAGGGACCGGCAGGTGAGGAGGAGACGAGGAGAAGCATTTGAGGCAGAGGGCCGCTTGCGTAAGTATGAAAGTCTGAGGAGCCCTCACACTGCTCTGACCACCTCTACCACACTCACATAAGGCAGCAGTGACTATCGGGGGGTACCTGCAGGCACCCGCAATTTAGCACGGTCCAGAGCTGCACACACCAGGCCCTGGAGGGAGACCACCCATCAGCAAAAACATCCCTCTGAGAAGCACTGGCCAAGGCACAGGAGCCGTGCTGATCCTCCAGCCCTGTGGGACCCAACACCTCACCAGACCCGGGGCAGGGGGAGGTCGAGGAGCCTCGGAGTGAGGGCCACTCACGTACCTTCTGCATCTACCGTCTCTTTCATGATGATCTCCACCCGCTCCACGTGGTGCCGGTTCCAGAGGCCGTCCAAGGCCTTGCGGTTCTGGTCTCGGAAAGGCAGGATCTGAGCCACAGCCTGCCAGGAAAGGAGACTGGTTGTGCTGCAGGTTATTCTCAGGACGAAGAAGGAATCCTGACTCCACGGAAGGGCCCCAAACCTCTCTCTTCACCGCTCAGAGAAGATGCTCTCTGGAACAAGTCCCTGGACGCTGGGGCTTCACAGCCCACTAAGGACTCCAGAACCTTTTAAGTGACCTCCACAGGGTTACCAGCTTTTTACGTTGTCAAGAAAGAAAATATTTATTATTTATCGTCTATTGCCATCAACTTTTAATAAAAGACAGACATTTTAACACCAAAAAGAGAGCAAGAAAAGCATCAAATTGAATATATTCAGTATTTTCTTCTCATCTCCCCAAAACAAGTGAAAAACCTCACCAGGAGAGGCACTGGTCTGAGGACCACTCTCTGGGAATACTGCAACTCCACATGGGGCTGGATTGAAAGCGATGCCTCTGTCCTAGACGATTAGGTGCTGCCCACCCACACGGCCCTGGCTCAATAGCCTGGTCAGGCCCAAGAACACAGGTGCGCGCTCCTGCTGGGGTTTCTCGGGAGAGTTGTCCCGAGGGGCTTCGAGGGCACGTTCAGAGTGAACTGGCCAGCTGACCTGCATCCCCCAGGAGGTCAGCCCCATGCTCTGTCACATGGCCTGGCTGAGAAGCACGGACTTAGTGTCTCTATTCAGGTTTAGGATCTTGATACCAGCCTTCTGGCTCAAAACAGAACTCAGGAAAAAAAAGATATTGAAAAAAGGCAGGTGGGTGTGGAATAGGAAGGTTAATTGCAATTCCCAGAGCATGCCCAACTGGAAGCCAGGCCCAGACACCAGAGTCTCGGGGCCACCTCTGCAGAGGATGCAGGGCCCAGACCCTGGCTGGAAACAAAGAGGATGGGATGCACAAGAGAACAAGTGGCTGGACACGGGGACAAGGGGCAAGCAGTCCGGCCCTTGCTGCTCTCCGCTTTTCCTTTGCCCTCTCACCTCCTGCCCACCTTCCAGACGACCATGCGAGCTTAGATTTCACAATGCCTTCGGGCCTAATTCCACAATTAGTGGTGTGGCCCTGTCGATGGGGTCTACCTGCACCCAGCTCACTTCAACCTGGCAGGCTCCTAGCTGAAGCTCACCTGCTTGCCCAGGTAATGGTCCACCCGGTACATCTCCTCCTCTTGGAAAAAGCTACCAAGTTCTGTGGCCAGCTGCTGGGCTGAGAGGTGGTCATGGCCAAAGGGTTTCTCAAGGACAACCCGCAGCCAGGCGCCTGGGCCTGGACGGCAGCTGCTGTTGATGTTGCGGGCAATGTCTGCGTAGGCGAAGGGCGGCACCGAGAAGTAGAAAATCCTGCCAGCCTCCCGGAGGCCTTCATGTTGGACCTGTGCCTCAATGTCCTTGTTCAGAGCCAAATAGTCCTCACTCGTCTTCAGCTGGCGGTACTGGCTCAGCTGCTGGAACTGATCCTTGAGCTCAGCACAGCGACCGGGTGCCATGTCCTTGGGGCAGGAGAGGGACTCCAGGACCCTGGCCATGAACTCTTGGCCCTTCTTGCTGGTCGTCAGAGCACTCCCATGGAAGCTGAAACTGTGGCCCTTCCCTGCCTCATCCAGGTAGAGCTGGAATAGTCCCTGCCACAAGTATTTTTTGGCGAGGTCCCCAGTTGCCCCCAGCAGGATTATGGAGACATGTCCCTGGAGCTCCTGGGCCTGCAGGCAGCCCAGAAGGGCCATGCACACTGCCACCGTGAGCATCTTCCAAAAGCCTGGGTGCCTGGGAAAGACAGACAAGGAAGAAAGAAGGATCAGACATGGCTGAGGCGGCTATGATTGGGGTAAACACATTTCCAGGCTATCAAACATTTTCTGCCTGGCAAGAAACCACCACATGCTTCTCAGAAAAACGTTATAGTCCCACAGCTTCCCCCTCCTTCCCCAACAGCTTGGCTTCTGTGCCAGGAAGCCGGTGGGTAGGGAGCCTGCCCTGTAAACAGGGACTATGCCCAGGAAGGGGGTAGGCCACTTCCTAGAAATGGTCTATTTTGCTGCAGAAGCATGGGAAAGTGGCAGAAGCCACCAGGGAGGCCCACGAGGCTGCCATGGGATTGGAGCTGTCCACTTTACGATCTAAGGGCCGCATCCATGAGCACAGGTCACCTGGACCATCAGGGCAGCTCAGGAATGGCAGCGGGCCCTTAGATGACAGCTGGAACTGTGAGAAGACATGACCACTTCCTCTCACTTCTCTCTTTGCTTTTCCTATGTCTACTGGACTCCAATCACAAAATTATTACTAATAATTGCCACAGCACAATAATTAAAAACACAGACTGTGGAACCAACTGATTGAGTCTGAATCCCAGCTCAACCCTTTACTAGCTGTTTGACTTTGGACAATTATTTCACTCCTCTGTACCTCAGTTTCCCCATCTGAAACAGGGGTGACAGTGGTACCTACATCTTAGGGATGTTATAAGGATAAAATGAGTTACTATTTATAATATACTTAGGACAGTGCCTAACGCCTAGGAAGCACTATATAAGTGGTGGCTATTATTATGGGATATTAATAATAGCAGTGAACACTGAATGCTAGCACGTGCCAAACACGGAATCAAGTACTTCTGTGCACTAGATCTCCCTGAATCCAGACAAGAACCCTGAAAAGAACCAGTGGAGTGGGTACTATTATGGTCCCCCTTTTGCAGACAGAAAAGCTGAGGTTCAGGTAGGTGAGGGTCCCACGGTGAGAAGATGCGGGAGCCGGACAGGCCCCAGGCTCCCTGCCTCCAAGCGGACACGCAGCAATTGCATGCTGGTAAGCCTAACACCTTGGCTGGTTTTCAGCCTAATCTGAAGCAGCTGACATGGCTGAAAGGCGAGAGGCCTCTGACCTGTCACAAACGCACATAGGATTTGCTTTGTCTGGCCTTCCATTCTGACCAAGGGTGTAGGGCTTAATGTGCTCAATGCTTACCCCACGGCTCTCCCGTTCTCCCATTTCCCACCAAGGCCAGTCCTTTGAGGGGAAGGTAGAGGAAGTGAGGAGGAAAGTAATCATGGTCAGGAACTGGGCTCTCAGAAAATGATGGGGGGAGTGGGGCCCAGCCCGGGGCATGGGAGTAGTGAAGAAGGAACTAAGATTACCTATTTGGCACTTATTTATGGCAGGCATTCTACCAGATAAAGAATTAACAAAATCCTAACAATGAGGCGGTAATCTGGTTATACAGATCGGGAAACTGAGGTTTAAAGAGAGAACAGGAATTTCCAAAAGGCCCTGCAGACCTGGCCAGGTTTCCTTCTTGCATCCCTGTATCATGCCCTATATCGAGGGACTAGAGCTGCCCCTGACTCTAACATCAGACTCCCTCCACCCACTTTCCCTTTGCCTCTTCCTCATCTCTCTCGAGGTCCATCCCTAAAATGGCCCCAGTTAGTGGCCAGACCAAGAAGAGGATCCAACAGTGTTTGCACCAGAATCTACAAGTCACCAGACATTTCCGTGACTGGAGCTTTAACTGGAGGGTCAAGGGCCCACTTGAGTGGCCTGCCAGCCTCCTTCTTCCACTTTCCCGTTATCTGCACTCACCCCCAAAACCACAGATGGCCCACAGGACCATTCTACTTTGTTCTCCTGCTTTCCAATCCCTGTTCTTGGCCCTTCAAGCATTTCTTCCCCAAGCGGCAAGTGCCCCGTCGGGAGGGCAGGAAACGCCGCAAGGTCAGTGTGGGAGAGAAGCAGGAGAAATCTGAAGCCCAGAGAACAGCCTGGAGAAGGAGGAGCCGCCAGCTGGCAAGCTGCATTTCAGAGCTCCTGGTCGGACACTGTAGCCAGGGCTCCGGACATGCCTGGCACAAGGGGAGGAGCTCAGGAACCTCAGAGTGCTTGGGGGTGGTGAGGGAGCCCAGGAGCCGGCACCTCTACCCCCACCCCAGAAGACTGCAGACAGCCGTGATGGATGGCCGCCTGGCCTGAACCGACTCCCGCCCTCTATTTAATCCTGTTCTGACTCGGAAGTCTGCTGCAGTCTTCCCTGACCAGCCCTGTTCCAGGTTCCCAGTTCTCAGGTTAGCCGCCCTTATGTCTTGCTTATGTCTCCATCACTCCTTTAAGCAAGTACAAATCCAAGAGATATCAGTTATTGCAACACGGCTGCTTACTCTGTGGTTGCTCAACAACCAGGGAACAACTCTTTCCTAAACCACTGTGGATGGTGTGTTTGTGTTTGTGTGTGTGTGTGTGTGTGTGTGTGTGTGTGTTTGGTTTTTTATGACCATGTTTTTTAACCTTAACAGTGTTTCTCAAACTTGAATGTGCATACGAATCTCTTGCGGATCTTCTTAAAATGCAGATTCTGATGCAGAGGGTGTGGGAGGGGCCTGAGGTGCTGACAGCTCCTCCAAAGAGCACAAGTGGAGTCGCGAGACTGGAATACTGAGCAGTGAGGTCTAGAGCAATGGCTCTCACCAGAGGGAGCATCAGATCAACTTTTCCAAATACATACACCTAGCCTCCCACCCCCTTCAGCAGGCACTGAACTTCTGACTCGGTAGGTCCAGGGTAGGCCCAAACATGGGTATGTAACAACAGCCTCGAATGCTTTAGATCTGCCCATCCCCCTGCACAAACTGACTACTAACTACTGAGAGCCTAATAAAAATATCTAACATTTACCAAGTCGTCAGTGTGTGCCAGACAATTTAAAGGCACTATCTGAATCTTTCCTCAAAACAGTTTTGCGAAGGAGGTTCTGCGATGATGCCCATTTTACAGATGAGGAAATTGGTAGGTGAAGTCAACTGTCGAGTCACAAAGCCAGAGCCCCCAGTCACTGTAGCTTCCTTAGTCAAGAGGAGGAATGTGGCATTTGGGTCAGAGGCCCCAGGCTGAGGGCCACCTCCCAGCTGTATGACCTAATTAAGTCACCTAGTCAGTCTGAGTGCACCCGTCCTCATCTATAAATGGGCTAATACCACCAAACTAAATGGGGGGGTGTGGATATTAGCTGAGACAATACATGTGACAAAAACTGTATACGAATGCTCCCTAACTATGTTAACCAAACGTAAAGTGGCTCCTGGCCCCCAAGCATGGCCTAATGCCATTGCTGTAGGAAAAACTGCAGCTCCCTCCTCTCAGGGGCCCCCAAGCCCAGCCCGCAGACAGCACCCTGGTATTTCCACAACACCCCCCGACTAGTCCTCACACCTGCCCTGAGAGGAGAAGACCGCATGGTTATCCTCCCTGCTGTCCCAACAGGGAAATAAACAGGCTCAGAGAAGCCTAATTACGTCCAAGACAAGACCAGGGTCCCACCTCTGGAGCCAAGACGAGGCTACAGGGAAACCAGCTGGCTCCAACACCCTATCTGCGGTCTAAACCTCTCTCCTGCTGCGAGCCTCTACTTCTGAAGGTTTTTCTGAAGCACTTCCTCCTGTCTCCTTGCCTGCTCTGAGTAGAATGGGCTGGTGAAATAAATCTTCTAAAATTACATACCTGAAGTTAGCCAAAAAGCATGGAAGTGGCATTCCAACGGCTGATCCTGCTATAAATCGCTTCTATTTTTAATAAATAAATAATGAAACCCCTAGTGAAAAGTCTGAGAAGCTCTTGGACCAAAGGACAGTGCACGAGACTGTGAACTGGAACGTGTGGTGATCCTTCTCCAGGCCCTGCCGCTGAACAGCCGCATAACCTTGAACAATCATTTACCCTAGCTGGGCCTCAGTTTCTCATCTAGGAAATGACGGCACTGAACTAAAGCATCTCCACAATACTTTACTGCCCCTGAGGCCCATGCGTTCCAAGGAAAGGAGATAACCTCTCTACTTCAGGGAGATGCCCGCCGCCATAAGGGCAGTTAAGTGCTTAGAACCTTAGACCAAAGCAACAGGGCTGGAAATAGAGGACTAAAATACGAAGCAATGAGCCAATGACTGAGTGTTATTCAGAAGTTAAGGCAAAACTCTTTGAAACTATAACTTGAGTGCGTGGAGGATGCAATTTCATTTACAACAATTCTTATTCAAGATACTTGCCAGAAACACACGGTGCTGCAGGGGCATCCTCTAGGGAGGTGCAAAAGACCTTCTTCCGACAGGCTCATCTCAGGGTCAGGACTGACTGGGCACTTGTCCACATCCAGGGCACCTTTCACTGCCTCCAACTCCAGTCTGAGGGGTTGCTACCAGGTATCCTGGGAGACTCACCTCTTAAAGTACGGCTCTGCTAACATCCCCAAAGCTCTGAACACTGACTTGGCCAGCCAGGGGGTCTGGATCAAAATCGGGGTTCCAGTCTCTGTTTCTGCCCAAGTGAAAGAGGCAGATGTGGAGCACCCAGGCAGCTGTGCCTGTCCTAGCAGACCCAGCTCGTGCTGGCGCTCTAGTGGCAGAGTGGTTTCTGGTAAACCACAGGAAGAAGCAGCTCTGGTCCTCTATTCCCAGCAGACAGGGGGCGGGAGAAAGGAGCTGGCAGGTAAAGGTCAGTGGCTGGGGCTACCCTGTTTCCTTTCCCAATGCCGCATTAACACTTTTGACCTCTACCTTGTGTGTGCTAGGCAGGAGGAAGGGACATTTTCTTCAAATGACAGCCCATAAGCTTGGAATTTTTAAAAGAATATGTGAGAGTAAAACAAGAGTTACAGACTAAGATCGTCTCTAGCTAAAGTACAAGGGGATGTGCCCAGTCCCTTCTACAATCACAAACTCAAGTAGTTTTCCTGCACTCTTTCCTTCTTGTTCTGGCCCATCTGTGCCAAACACAGCCATGCAGATTCAAGTCAAACCCTTCCTTCCTCAGAGAACTGTGATCTGCGTTCTTTCCCCCCAGGGCTAGACTGGACACAAAAGCTGCGAGACCTTGGGCCCTGGGGCCCTTTTTCCTCCCCAATCTCAGAGAGTCCTTATTTCCATCACCTCTTTAGGTACCAGTCTTGGGTCCCTATGACCTAAATGGTGTGCTGGAACCATCTCGTACCTGCACACAAGATTCAATTACTAAATTTTTGGGAATTTTGCAAGCCAGTTGTTAAACAATGACATTATTCAAATTCAAATTACACAAATTTATCATCAAATAAATTATATTAAAAACAAAGGTAGTAAATACTCAAAACTCAGCAATTCCTAATTATTTCACTACATTTTGCTATTATCTCTTCTCTTGACATTATTTACATCTATTATATCTGTAAGGTGAAGATATTCTACAATGGTGTGCTTGAAACGGACCAGCATGGGAATATTTATCTCAGATATTGGCAAATGCTCCCCACCCCCTGCAGAGTTAGTGGTTAAACATTTACCAGCACACAAGTGCCTACACACCAAGTCTTTATTTCCAGTCTGGACTTTCTCCTTCTAAACTCCAGCCTCATACAAGCAACTACTATTCTGACACCATTAGTTGGATGTCTACAAGGCTTCCGTGTTCAAAATTGAACTGACATCTCCCAAGCTGCTCCAAAGGCAGATTTCCCCCTCCTCAGTAAACAGTAATTCTGTCCTTCCAGGTGCTCAGGCCAGAAACCTTGGAGTCACTCGATCTGTCAACAAACCCTATGGTTTCTATCTTCAAAATTTATCTAGACTACAACTACTTCTCACCACCTTCCAGCACTCCACTCCAGTCCTAGCCACCATCACCTCTGTCTGAATTACTGTAGGGACCACCTCATTGGCCCCCCCGTTTCTATCTTTGCCTGAACACAGCAGTGAAAGGGATCTTTTCATAGCATCAGTCGGATCACACCATTCCTCTGTTCGGTGGCCTGCAGGGTATACACATTCTGGCCTGTTACCTCTTTGACTTCTTCTCCTGCTACTCTGCCCCTGTCTGGGTTCCAGCTACCCATCCTCCTGCCTCAGGGCCTTTGTACTTGCTGTTCTCTCTGCCTGACCTACTTTACCCCACAGATGTCCACGTGGTTCACTGCCTCAGTAACTTCAGTTCTTTGCCGAAATGTCACCTTCTCAGTGAGGCTTTCTCAGCTGACTCTGTAAAATTGTAAACCTCCCACTCTCATCTCATCCCCTGCTTTATCTTTCTCCGTGGTACATATCACTTTCTAATATACTGTATGTAATAAGTATATTTATTTTGTTTATTGTCTGTCACCTCTCCCCTCTAGAATGTAAGTGCCAATGAGGACAGCGGTCTTTGTGTTTTGTTCACTGCATGTCTCCAGTATCCAAAACAGGGCCCGGCACACAGAAGGTGCACTATAAATATGTGCTGAATGAACAAATTAACCCCACGTGCATAAGACCACTGTCACTTGTGTATGAACTATCTTGATGTGAAAGATGGCACAAAGGAATAAATCTCTAATGGCGACTTCAAGCACTGTGACACAGCACACAATAGCAGCAGCTTGCTACTTGTAACAATACCATTAATAATAAAAGAGATATTTATAGAGTATTTAACTATATGCCAAACGCAAGGCTAAGAGCTTGACATGCACCATACCATTTAATTCTTGCCACAACCTATGAGGCAGGTCCTATTATGAGCCTCATTTTTAGAATGAGTAGAGAGGAAACTAAGGGGCAGAGAGGTAAAATAACTTCCCGAAAGGGAGGCAGCTTAGAGGTGACAGGATGTGAACAGAGGCAGACCAGCTCCAACGTTTACCTCCCGCCTACCTGTAAAACGGGTGACTACACCCCCAAATGGCAAAATCTAAAACCCTGTATTAGTGCGGACACTGATTCTGCTCCTCCAAAAGACTAGAACAACAGTGGTTTAAACAGATAGGCTATCTCTCTCACATAAGTTACCCAAGCTAGTCGGCAGCTCTGCTCCCTGAGGTCAAGCTGCCCTGAACACTCACTGCAGTAAATGGCCCTGACGTCACATGTCCACTTTGCCTAACAGTGACTCACTCTCCTTCCTTCTGACGTCATCAAGACCTGTGTTTAAGCCTGAGTTGCTCTGTTAAAATTGGAAGGCCCCTGGGGGGGGGGGGTTGATGGGGGGACAGGGGGGCTAGCTTCTGGAGAACTGTTTAAGCGTGAGAACTTTGAGTTCAAATCTTTGCTCTCCCATTTAGGAGCTGTGTGACCTTACACAAGTTATTTAACTTCTCCGTACCTCAACCACAGAGTGGGAAAACAAGTCGATAAGAAGCACAAAATGAGACAATCCATCTAAAGCACTTGGCACGATGCTTGGCAAACAGTAAGCACCCAAGAAGTACGCGCTTTCATCATTATTAACCCAATAGCATCATGAGTGAAGGGACTTTTCTCACTAGCTTCTTGGAACTGCTGCAAAACCAGTGAACCACCCCACAACAGAAAAAACGCAGAGGAGTAGCTGATCGACAGCTTCACGACCTTCCAGTCACACTGATGAGAAATCAGAGGGCTATAATGCTGAGCTGGTTCAAGAATCCCCACCCCAGGCCTTGAGGGGTTTACCATGTGGCCAAAGAATCCGGGTTACAGAGCAGACCTCTAACTCTGTAGGCCCAGGCCTTTACTGCTCAGGGCCTTTTCTCCAGCAGTAAAATGGGGATCATCCACCTCACTGTAACGTTTGGCCAAAAAACCCAGATCATGGCTGTGAGAACACTTCGGGAGGCTATGGTGGTCAGAGTTCTCCCGGACAAATAGTCACCCGGCTCCCAACTCAGGGCAGCAAAAAGCAAAACCAGACTTCCGGCTCTGCCCCTGGGTTAGGGCCTGGCCGAACCCACGGTGAAGTCTGGCAACAAGCAACAACATTTTGCGTCATTCAAATTCCATCAATAAAGTGAGAAGTGACTAGGCCACAGGTGACCAAAGGTCCCACTTAGTTTACCTTTTAAAAGGCCTAAAAAACATCTTACTGTCAGAGTCACTTAGCAGAACTCTAGTCTTTGGATAAAAATAACGTTAATATTTGCCTAGAGTGGCTATTTGTTAAGCAGTCAGGCACCTCAAAGAGAGTTGCACAAAATACTGTCTGAAAAGCGAGCTCTGTTCATGCCAAACACCGAGCGTTTTTATCTCAGATGCTCGTAAAACTTACCAAAGGATTAGTTAGCCTCATGAGCTCAAAATTCCATCAGCCATCCACGGCTGCAGAGAGCGTAGAGCGTAATTTAAAATATGCCCACTTTACACCAGTTTTCCCTCATTTGCTACCTCTCACGAGCCGCGGGCCTGGGAGGGGGCAGTAGGGGGATGGGTGGGCAAGGGATTTAGGCTTATGACGTGTCCACAAGTTCATTTCCGGCTAAACACTGGAATTTGAGTGAGCCGACTTTCCGAGATCCAGATGGGCTTACTTCTGGAAAACCATTCACCGGATGCGTGTATTGGAAACGCTGATCGAAACCTGAAGGCTAAGGCCAAAGATGAAGCAGATCCCAGGAAAAAAGCCCTGAGCTCCTCCTCTCACTGAACTGAATTCCAGAAAGCCGGGAAAAGGGAGGCCGCTGACCCCTCTGGGCCAGCCTCGAAGGGGCCTGGCTGCCTCCTGCCGCCCAGAATCTGCAGCGGAGGAAGCGAATAATCAGCTCATTTTGGGAATTCGGGCAGGCTCTGGCCCGCCTGCGTCCGAGCAGCGGCGGGAGCTGGGTGGCGGCGGCGGTGACTCCTCCCAACAAATGCCCGAGGGTTTTACAGCCGCGCGCGGCCAGCCTCCCGGGCCCGCGGCCGACCCCCCGACCTCGGGTCGGCCCAGCGCGAGCGCGCGGCCGCTGTCGGGCTAGAAACGACGCCTGCGGCCGAAGGAGCCGCAGAGAAAGGGCAGGCAGCTTACTTCATCTCGCCCGTCAGAGCCGGCCGCTTCTCCGGGGAACGCTGCGGGCGGCGCGGGCCGTGCGGCGCTGCGGGCCGGGCGCGGGCCGGGCGCGGGCCCCGCGCATCCTCCTCCCGCTCCACAGGTGCGCGTCACGCGGCCCCGCGCCGCACGCGCGCTGGGGTCTCTCCAGCGGAGCCGGGGGCGCGAGCGGGGAAGGCGCGAGGGCAAGGCCAGGCCCCTGCCCCTTCCCTGCCCAACCCGAGACGCGTCGGTGTCCGGAGCTCCGCGACCCCGGCCTCAGACCACCGCCGCCTCGGCGCGCGCGCGCAGTGGAGCCCTGGGCGGGGGGCGCGCGTGCAGTGGGCCCAGCCGCGCGCGGCGGAGGGGGAGGCGCAGGCGAGACCACGCCCCCTAGTTCGGGGTCGCCGGGGTAGTAGGCGGGGCCTGCCGAACGTTTCCTTGTTTCTCGTGGATTTGCAGGACTTCAGAGTGAAGTGGGCGGGCAGTCGGCGCGCCTTCCCTCCCTCCCAGCCTCAGCCCTTCTCTCCTGTCCTGGGTTCTGCTGTGCATCGTAGGGGCTGTCTTCTGAGACACACGAGGGCCCCAGAAGTGGCCGAGGGAAGTGGTTGTGTCGTGGAGGAAGCCTGGGAGCCGCGTTGCTGGCTCATCCCCAGGACCTGGCACCAGCGGTGGGACTGAAACAGGTTACGTGACCTCCCCAGGCCTCGCTTTTCTCCATCTGTAGAGTTAGCGGCTTACTTCATCCCATTTTCAACGTTCACAAGTAGTGATTGTGGCATCCAGGAGCACACTATTGCCACGCCTCCACCAGAGAGCTTCAAATCTCTGCCTACACCCTGTTACCTTGAAGACACTAACCTGAGACTCTGTCTCTTCATCTGTACAATGGGGACAATGGGAGTACTAGCCTCAGAGGCTATCTGGCCTGTGATAAGTGCTCAGGAAGCGGTGGCTTGCACCTGTGTGGCTTTATTAGAATGAGAGTAAATGGGAATAAGACCTCTGCAGGGTGCTGGTGAGGTGTATAAATGAGATAATGTGGTCAGCTGCCTCTCGGGGCACTCGGTAGATGGCAGGCCAGTCCTCTACCCCACTCCTCACCATTATCACGCAGTATGTGACCCTCACCTTGCAGCAACCCCATGCCCACTTTTCTCCCAGCCATACAATGCTGTTAGTGCCCCCACTGGGGCCCCAGCCATCAGAGAGACAGCTGTTCCTTCCTGCTGTGGCCCTTTCTCTCAGGAGACCTTGAGTGACTTTGGGTTTATTAAGGCAGGGCCACTGCTGCACTGGCCAGCAAGACCACCCAGGGCCACCTCCTGGACATCCCTACTCCTAGAGCACCTTAGCTCTGTCCCTTCTCCAGACCCACCTTCCTCCCACCCCAGAGCCAGGAGAATGAATGCATGGCCGCCTATGCTGAAGAACACTGGGCCACCCAGGAGAGGGGATTCTCACCGGAGAGACAAAACTTATAGCAGCTTTTTATTTCAGGAAGGTTCCATCAGAGGTAGGAGCGTCAGGAACCAGCAGAGGGAACTTGGCAGTGGCCAGCAGGACTAAGTAGGGCCAACAGGCATGATTACCACACAGGATGTTGGGCAAGAGGGTTCTAGGAAGGCTGGGGAGCCAAGGGGGGCTGGGCCCCTCTGTCACCAAGGCCAGGGGCCATCAGGGGCCTGCAGTGGGCTGCCGGGCCTCCAGAAGGATTTGGGCCATACTGGGTGGGACCTGTGCAGAGGGTCAAGGAGCTAGGTACCCGCTGGGCTGCCTGCACAGCTGGAAGTGGGTAGGAGGGTCTAGGGCAGGGGCCAGTAGAACCGGACTGGGCCATGCCAGGGCTCTTGGCTGAGAGCCTTTCCCATGCTCCATAACCCTGGATGCACCGTGCACCCACACATCTATGTAAACCAGCGCCAAGGGAGGCACAGATGGGAGAAGGCAGGTGCCCAGAGACTGAGGTGAGCCAAGGGGACTTTCCCTCCATCCCTATGCAGCCATCACGAGGCCACCTTTTAAAATATCCCAAAGCCAAGTCAGCTGTAACCAGCTTATTAAGAAAATGTGTGTCCCCCTAGGTGTCACTTAAGTGGGGTGGGGTCTGAGGACTGACATGAAATGAGTCTAGGTGTCACACTGTTGTCCCCACTGGTACTTCCGTGCCCACACATTGTCAAGATGTTTTCATTTCTCTGCCCTCCTCAGTCCCCCCAGTGCGTATCTCAGTCCCCCCCCTCGACTCTGTACCTTCTAGTATGATCCGGACCATTGCTTTGCTTTCTTTCCAACATGAAAGCAATTTGGTCTCATCCAGATGTGAGAGTATTGCCCCCAAAAACCGAAAATCTAAAACCTTGTGCGTTTAGGCCTTGTGAGTGGCTTCAGCACATTTGCCTACCTGAAGCTTTTCTCATTTCTGTGCTAACAGCAGCTACAAGACATGCCAGGCCACATCACGAGGGTCCAGGTGTGCCCAAAACCCTCTGAAGGAAGCCAGAAGAAAGGAATGATGCCCCGTGGGGGGTCCTGTGACTCGAGCTGTGTCTGTGGCTTATCCCACACTTGTCAAGGAGCGCCCTGGAGCTCTTTGTGAAGCTAATGTTTTTCCTCTTCCTAAACTGCAGGATAGGCAGAAGTCAGGGTTACCTCAGCCTGAGGTACAGACATGGAAAGTGAGACCCAGCGAGATGAATGACTCACAGACATGTCTGCGGAGTTAGAAATAAAATCACGTCGCAGTTTCTATTTTCAGGCACCACTCACTGTCAGCTCTACCACTTGTTCACTCTTTGCTTCTTGCTCGGGGTGAGGAGGGAGAGGACAGGTGCCCTGGATTTCAGCTACAAGTAGATCTTTTCATCCCCAGATGTGAGAAAGCTCAGAATTCTTTTTTTTTTTTTAAGATAGGCTTCACAAAGTCGACATAAGGTAGCTATGTATTAGTTTTCTGTTGCTGCCGTAACAATCTACCACCTTTTAGTGGCTTAAACAATGCAGATGTGTTATAGTCCTGTAGGTCGGAAGTCCCACATGGGTCTCACTGGGCTAAATAAAGGGGTCGCAGGGCTGCGGTCCTTTCTAGGGGAGCCCTTTTCTTGCTCATTTGGATGTTGGCAGAATTCAGTTCCTTGTGGTTTTAGGACTGAGATCCCTGTTTCCTTGCTGGCTGTCAGCTGAGGGCCATTCCCAGCTTCCAGAGGCTACCACATTCCTTGGCTTGTGGCCCCTTTCCTCCGTCTTCAGAGCCACCAATGGGAGGCAGAATGCTTTGAATCTCTCTTCCTTCTTTTTCAAGTTCAACTCTCTGACCCAGCTGGAAAGGGCCTCGTGTGATTAGGTTGGGCACACTCATAAAATCCAGGATAATCTCACTATCTCAGCGTCCATACCCTTCATCATACCCGCAAAGTCCCTTTTGCCAGGTAAGGTGACATATTCACAGGTTCTGGACGTTAGAGCCTAGACATCTTTAGGAAGTCATTATTCTGCTTGCCACAAATTATAAGTTTGCAGCTTCTCAAACTCTCTTGGTTGTCTAGGATCTTTATCACATGAATTTTTAATAACAGCTTTACTGAGATATAATTCCCTTACTATTCAATTCACCCATTTAAAGTGTACAATTCAATGGTTTTTAGCATAGTCACAGAGTTGTGCAACCATCATCACAATCAATTTAGAACATTTTCATCACTCCACCAAAAAATCCTGTACCTATTAGCAGTCACTCCCCATTTCCTCCCAACCCTCCTAACCCTCGGCCACCAGTCTGCTTTCTATCTCTGTAGATTTGACATGTCCAAATGTCTCTGGACATTTCATGTAAGTGGAATCATACAATATGTGGCCTTTGCTTATATATATGTTATATAGACACATATGTTACATATGTGTTATATAGACATACGTTTGTTACATAAACGATGTTTTCAAGGTTTATCCATATTGTAGCATGTATCACTGCTTCATTCCTTTTTATTGCTAACTAATATTTGATTGTATGGATATACCACATTTTACTTATCCACTCATCAGTTCATGGACATTTGGGTTGTTTCCAGTTTTGGGCTATTATGAATAATGCTACTACAAATATATGTGTATGTGTTTTGTGTGGACATGTTTTCATTTCCCTTGGAGGGAATTGCTGGGTCATATGGTAACTCTATGTTTAACCTTTTGAGGAACTGCCAGACTATTTTCTACAGCGGCTGCACCATTTTACATTCCCACCAACAATGTATGAGGGTTCCTATTTCTCCACGTCCTTGCCAATACTTGTTATTATCTGACTTTTTGATTATAGCCATTCTCTTGGGGGTGAAGTAGGATCTAGTTGTGATTTTGATTTGCTTTTTCCTGATGGCTCATGACATTGAGCATCTTTTTGTGTGCTTATTGGCCATTTGTATATCTTCTTTGGAGAAATGTCTAGCCAGAGTCTTTGCCCATTTTTTGATTGGGTTGTCTTTTTGTTATTGAGTTGTTAGAATTCTTTGTATATTCTAGATACAAGTCCCTTACCAGATCTATGATTTGCAAAAGTTTTCTCCCATTCTGTGGGTTGTCTTTTCACTTTCTTGATGGTGTCCTTTGAAGGATGTTTTTAATTCTGATGATGTCCAATTTATCTATTTTTTCTTTTGTTGCTTGTGCTTTTGGTGTCATATCTAAGAAGGCTTTGCCTCATCCAGTGTCATGAAAATTTATGTTTGTGTTTTCTTCTAAGAGTTTAATAGTTTTAGCTCTTACATTTAGGCTTTTGATCCATTTTTGGTTAATTTTGGCATATGACGTGAAAGGTAGGGAATCCAACTTCATTCTTTTGCACGTGGGTATCCAGTTGTCCCAGGATACTTTGTTGAACTGTCACAAAATGTGCTGCAAAAACATTTACCTGGACGTGACCAAAGTCCCTAGGCAGTCCAGTAAGACAAACTCTAGAAGACCAATGCCTGGCAAACAATAGACCCTCAAAACATGTTTGTCAAGTGAATGTGGTGCAAGGTGGGGAGCCAGAGCTACCAAGTTCAAGTGCTGGAGTCCCCTGCACTCTGCATGTGGCTATGAGTGACTCTGGGAATGTTTTCTCCAAGTGGCCACTTACAGTCTGAAGAGGTGCGTTGGTGCCCTTGGGTAAAATGAGCAAACTGGCAGGGCTACTGCTGCCTGAGCCAGATCTCAGAAAAAGTCCCAAATTTTGTTTTAAGTCTGCCCAGGGGCCGAGGGGTCAAGCAAAAAGAAGAGAGGAGAC